TTGCATCCCATGACGCTCCTGTCCTATTGACGTAGATACACCTTCCACCAATGAGGGTGAACGGGTCAGGGCAAGCACCTGCAAGTTCACAAGATGCAGTTTCTTATCTGAACGAATTTCATTGCACCGATCGATCTGCACGATATATACATATAAATGACAGACCTTCGCCAGTGCAACCAAAGAGGCCAACCAGAAGCAGCGATGCATGGAAGACAGTTTGGATTTCACCCATATCTTTCGCTGAATCTTCTTCCTAAGTGTTGTGGTTTAAATTGAACAAAAAAGTCATTATGGATTAAAAAAGTAAAATATTGATAATTATTTCAAATATCAGGGTTTAGATTAAACTTATTCAAATATATACCAACGCTATGTATTTCAGGAAAATCTAATTATATATTATAAATAATTAATTTGGAAAATTTTACAAAATAAACAAACAAATATAAATACAAACAAACTAAACGAGCAAATAATATAACAACCCATCCCAACTCATCCAACCTGTTACTATTATCGTTCAAATTAAATGTTCAATTCGATAAAATTCACGAATAGCCACTAGACATAAGTGAATTGATTTCAATTTATATTCTCATATGTGTGTGCAGTGTTGTTAAATATTTAGAGTATTTAAATACTTAAAAGTATTTAAATACTCACCCCGGTATTTGAGAGGTATTTAAAATACTTAATAAAATGGCAGTATTAAAACAGTATTTAGATACATTTGTATGGTATTTAGTATTTAAAAAATTTAAATACTTTGACAAAAAAATTGCTTTATCAATCATCTATTCCACGTTGTATATCCTTTGTTTATTCTACATATGTGATGTGTATATACTATATAATAGTCTGTGCAAACTGCTATAATCTGTATTTTTTTTGTATTTAGCTTTGTTGACAGTGAATCATTTCAAGACATTTTTCGTTTGGTTTGCCCTAATCGTTCTATTATGTGTCGACAGGTAAAAATTTATAAATTGATTTTGGAAGTGAAGGAGACTGTACGGAATCAGCTAGAAGAGGCACAGTATGTATGCATGACTGCAGACCTATGGAGTTCATCCAACAGATCATTAGTATAACTGCTCTCTGGTTTGATGTTTCAAGTCTAGAAAGAAAATCTGCTGCTCTTAGCATGCCTGCGCTTCACACACTCATATTATAAAATTGCTTCAGAAATCAGTATACTAGCTTTAATATTAAAAGTAAAGTGTTATTCACATGCTCTGACAATGGATCAAATATGGTGAAGGCATATAGTGAGAGTTCTGCAGTTAAAGAGCAGTTGTTGTCTGAAGATGATAAAGACTTTGAGTTTTATGGTGATGATGAAGATGCTTCGTTCGACACAGGGGTTGGAGAGGCTATAGAAAAATACAAGGCAGAGACAGATGTTGTGATCCTTCCAGATCATTTGTGGTGTTGCTCACATACAATAAATTTGATTGCGACAACCGATGCTGAAATGGCTCTAGAACATAGCAGCTATAAAAAGCTGTACCGCCAGGCTATTGCCAAAGCTACTGCGATTTGAAATTTTACAAAACGTAGTACAATGGCTGCTGAAGCTGCTTTTGAGATAGTAGGTTATCGGTTTTCAATACCATGTGTAACAAGATGGGCTTCATTATACAACCCTGTTGAACAGATCATCAACTGTGAAGAAAAAATAGCAGAGGTGAGCAAGGTTCTTGGCTTACCCCCACTGTTCCACTCTGAGGCAGTTTTTTTAAAGGAATATATATCAGTAATGGCTCCAGTAGCCGCAAGTCTTGACATTCTGCAAGGAGACAAAACTTGTTCACTGGGCTATTTTTTGCCTACATTGACGACTTTAACAAAAAAGCTTATTTCAATGGATCTGAATCACACGATTCTATTAAGAGATGCCTTATTACAGGGTTAGGAACTTATCTTTCTGATAAAGAATATCTACTTGCTTCAGTGAAATGAATGAAAACTGCATGGTATTTAAAATAATTTTTAAATTCTTGCAGCCAGTATCTAAATACTTGTAGCAGTATTTAGTATTTAAATACTATTTAAATACTGAATTTTGACCAAGCATTTGCTAAGTATTTAAATACTCAACATGTGTGTATTTTAACAACACTTTGCGTGTGTGTGTGTGTGTCTGTGTGTAAGTGTGTGTGATTTTTGATTCAGTCGTAAATTGCATCCTCCAAACAACTTCTGCTCTTCTCCTAATCAAAATTTTAATAATGTTAATACCTGAACAACCTCATTTGAATTTGCGTGACATTTGGTCATTTTAAACTGCAAATTTGTTTTTATATTAATAACGTAGCCACATCTACCACTAACGATGGCGAACTTACTCTGAGAAGCACCTACAAGTTCATAGAAATTCTTTTGTTCACAGAATAATGTGCTCTTAACTAATTTCATTGCTTGAATAATATCTGCCTTATATACAGCAGAGAGACCCAGCATAAGCAGCAGTGCTTGGAAGAACATTTTGATTTAACCCATATTTCTTTATACATGTATGTATGTATATATGTATGTGTGTGTTTGTATGTGTGTTTGTATGTGGTGTGTGCGTGTTTATACAAAAGGATGCACGTTGTTACGGTTCAAAAACATGCAACCTGCGTAAACTTCCATTCATCTTTCTTCTTTAAAAAAAATTAAAATTGATAATGATGTTGACGATGATGGTAATGATGTGTTGTTGATTTATGAAGATAGTGCTGATTATGATGATGATTATTAGGATGATGATGATGATGATGATGACGATGTTGATGATGAAGTAATGCTAATGCAGATTTTAGACTTTCTCAGGCCAAATTTCTGTTACTAGTTCTGAAAAAAGTTATTTTAACTACTTAAAATATTTATCATAGCTATTAATAGCTTGATACTCGTACAAAAGATGAAGGTATGAAAAAACTTACAAACTTAAAATACTCAAAGATGCCTAAAAAATTTTTCTTGTGATAGAATTGTTTTTCAGAAATTATTATTATTATTATTGAAATTTCCCCGCTAGGTTTTTTTTTAAATATTTTAAACTATCATTAATTAATTTATTTGGTCTGACCTTTTTCATAGAAGTTTAATTAATTCCGTAGTATCGTCATCTTACGCAATTTACTCTAATGGACCACGATTTGAACATAATTTAATGCTGATTCTATTTCTCTTTGTGCCCATTTGAAATGAATGGCGAGCATTGTAAATTATCTATATAATTAACGTTATGAGTTTTATTATTATTATTATTAATATTATTATTATTATTATTAATTAATAACGCATCCTATTCATAGCTTCTGGCACGCTTGGATAAACAATGATTTTTGACGTTTTTATGCCCTGGATAAATAAAAAGTTCTTCAATCGTTTCCTAAAAAGTTTGATTGTTGGCTGTTGACGAATAATGACAGGCAAACCATTTCATATGGAAGGAGAGCTGTATGTAAAACATTTGTTGACAACCGATGAATTGCTGACAGGATGATGCAACTGAACTGAATATATGAAGA